GGCGGACAGCCCTTTACCCACTCCATGCCTTAATCTTGTCATTTTGACTGGATTTAGAAGTCATATGAGATTATTATTTGTTTGGTATGTGCGTGTGTGCGTGTGTGCATGCGTGCGTGCGTGCGTGCATGTGTGTGTGTGTGTGTGTGTGTGTGTGTGTGTGTGTGTGTGTGTGTAGAGTTCAGAGGTTGATACTGGGTGTCTCCTTCTATCACTCTCCACCTTGTGTTTTTGAGATAGGCTCTCTCACTGAACCTGGAACTCACTGATAGGCTAGATCATCTGGCCAGTAAGCCCAAAGGATCCTCCTGTCTCTGCCTCCCAGTGCTGGGATTACAGGCGCACACTACTATGTCCAGCTTTTTACATGGGTGCCAAGGATCTAAACTCAGGTTCTCATGTGTGCACAGCAAAGAACTACCACTGAGTAATCTACCTACTCCTGCCTATGGGATTGTTAAACACAGTTCTTCATATATCTGAGAGGGCATTTCCAGAGAGGAATAACTAATTTGCAAGGCCCATCTTGAATGTGTGGCACCATTCTATAGACCGGGGGCAAGGGCAGCTGTGGAATAAAAGGAGAAAGTGGGGAAACCAGCTAATGTAGGCATTCTCTCTCTGCTTCCAGTCAGCCATGATCTGAGTGGCTTTGATCCAGTCTACCCTCCCTGATAAGATGGACAGAAATGTCTGAAGCCATGGGCAAAACAATTTTTTCCCCTTAAGTTGTTTTCTTGGTAATAGTCATGAAAAGTGTAACAACTACATTGATTAAGCAAAATATGCAAACTGGTGTAGAAAAGCAGTCAGAATGTGATGAGATTCAGAAGTTGACTTAATTCAAGGGTAGGATATAGCTCCATTGGTGGAGTGCTGATCTAGTATGCGTAAAGCTCTGAATCCAGACTCCAGCACACATAACCTGGCATGGTGATGAGTCAGGCAGGCATAGGGAATAGTTTACTGACCTAGGACTCTACTTGGTGTGGGTCCTGTGCATATCCCTCTTCTAACAATGCACTTGGCATTCTGAGACTTTTATTTGCATATACTATGGAAGCAGCTCTTGCACCTAGCAACCTGTTAATAACTGAGGACCCTGATCTGTATGGAGGTATACACCCATTCCCTCTTAATAATGGAGTAAGTTTCTCCTTTCTTTAAAAAGCATCAAACTAACAAAGACCTT